TGCGCCCCAGCGGAGCATGCACTGACTGGCTGCCTCGGCTCAGAGCCATCCCAGCCGCCGGGGTGCGCGTTGCATGGTGTGGGGATACACGGTCTCGATAATAAATGATAGAGGATACAATGACTTTGCTGTCTCTGCTGGGTCGGATCATGCGTTACTTCTTGCTTAGACCGGAGACCCTGTTTTTGCTGTGCATCAGCCTGGCCCTGTGGAGTTATTTCTTCCACACGGATGAGGTGAAAACCATTGTTAAGTCCAGCAGGGATGCGGTGAAGATGGTGAAGGGCAAGGTGGCCGAGATCATGCAGAATGACAGGCTCGGGGGGCTAGACGTGCTGGACGCAGAGTTCTCCAAGACCTGGGAGTTCAAGAGCCACAACGTGGCTGTCTACTCCATCCAAGGCCGGAGGGATCACATGGAGGACAGGTTTGAAGTAATCACTGACCTGGTGAACAAGACTCACCCCTCCATCTTCGGGATATTTGATGGGCACGGAGGAGAGGCAAGTGCTCAGCTGGAAAAAAAAAAAGGGGGGGGGGAAGATGGTTGCAAGGCAAGGAATGGATGTGTTTTACTCACCAGGTTTGTGCGGTTATCTTGAGACATTGTTTGGCGGGGTTGTGTCTTAGGTTTGTTTTTGTTTTTGGTTTTTTTTTGGTGGCGGGGGCAAAGTCTCTAAATACGGAAAGGGAGCAGTACTCCATTCCTTTTATCTCTCATTGCCCCTTCCATGATCGGTGCGACATAAATGTGTTTATACCCCTCTGCCCTTTACAGTAGTAAAGGTTTAATTGAAGTAAAAGCCGTTGGAGGTGGCTCTTACGTGTGTGGAATAACGATGATGAGCACAAACTCCCTGGAGTCATCTTTTGTTACAGGGAAGTGTGGTGTGATCTGATTTTGGCACAGGGCTGGTCTCCCCCTCCTGTCAGGAGCTGTGCTCATCAGCAGTGGTTAGAGAGCAGTCCTCTTAAAGGCAGAAGCGTGTGCAGCCTTAAAGCCAGTGTGTATAAAATGTGTCTTCGCAGTAATTCACCCTCCTGTGAGGACCAGCGAGTCCCTGAGAATGAGTATCGTGTTTGTGAATTACATGTCGTTTTTAAGTTGTTACAACCATGCTGTCATACTTGTCCCCTCCCTAGTGGAAAGCCAGGAAAACTGTCATTTTGAAACTTCCTGGTGTTTAACCTCTTAACTTTTTTAGGCAGGGTGAATCTCTTTATGTTGTGCTATGTAATTAGTATTACGGCTTGATGGGATACTTCATTTATTACAGATGACAAATGTTGAAACTATAGCTTCCTCTTCATTTAGGGTTGTGGTGCTGCCACACAGCTTTTTGTATAGCACAAAGCACATGTTTCATAACTGTGGAAGAGGACAAAGAATTTGTCCTTGTGTGACAAATTAGCTCTAGCAACCATTACGCTGGGTATGAGATTACCTTGCGGGCTTTGCTGGGATGATGGAAGCTGGAGAAAAATGTTGAAGTTTTTCACATAAGTGCTCCTGCCGAGGAGGGTAAGGCAGCAAGAGAGCTTGGGTGTTCTTCCAGCTGCTTTCACAGATCAAGTAGTCAAAAGTCCTTCCTAGAAAAGCATTGGCAGTGACCAGACACTAATGGAGCACAAGGATGGCAGCTGCTGCCCCTCCAAACCTGTGAGTGCTGCCTGAAAAATCCAGGCCTTAGGCACGTAATCAAAAAGCTGCTCTAATGCTGCCTGCGCGGTTGTAAAGGGAGTCAGTCATCTGTCCTACTGCTGCCTCGCGGTGTCGAGCGTTTTGCCCCCTTTAAAATAACGTAAACACTTCAGATACTGAAAATTGTCGGTTTCGTAACAAATTCTGGTTGTGAACCTGTTTTCTTTTTTATGTCTGATTTCAACTGGGGCACAGTTGTGCCAACTCTTACTGGCATACTTGTGCCAGTTCACACACTATTCCTTGGCCTGTAAGGAATACAGGCAGAAATGTGTACATAGCGCAAACTGGTGCGGATCTCCTGAAGGAGTATTAGCTCTGATCAGTGTATTTGGTACAACTGGCTCTTTTGTTTTCGCAGGCTTTGGCAGAAGGTGCTTGTGCTCTGTCTTCTGCCTTCTTCCCCTTTGTTTAAACTGACAGTTTTCCTTGTCTGAACTGATCAGCCAAAACAAGTTTGCAGGAATATCTGTGTCATGTTTTTAAACAGTATTATGAGATTGTTACAGATAGGAGTATGATACACACACTTAGACTTTGGCATTGTGAAATTATTTCTTGCTTTATTTTGTATCATACATGTATCTTGCCCTACACTCGACTGCAAACTCAATATACTAAATAATCCAAATCTAACACGGAGAATAGCTAAATGTCATGAATGTGCCCTGTATATATTTTTGGTTGATTTGTTGTGGATCTTGGAATTACATCCATAAGATACACTGGATCTGTGAAAAACTCATTTGTCTTTTGTATCCTCATTCCTCAGAACTTGCTCTAACTGATTCAGTGACAAAGTGTGAGGCTTTTGTATGAGGCCTGTCATTTTGAAAGGTTGAGCAGATCTTTCCCTGAACCTTACTGAAGTTGATATTTTAAAAATATATGTATCTAGTATCTCTTATTTATCTTCCTAATGAAATCCTCAGATGTTCTTAGTGGCCTTTGCTCCTACAAAAATCGGTGCCTAATCACTGAGGACATAACTAGTTTCTAGCTTTAGATTTTATGTAAAACTGATCAGAAGAGCATGAACAGTGTGCTGTGCATATAGCAAAAAATAAAAATAGGTATTAATCTAAGCAGGTTTTGTAGTTTTGAGTAGAAAAGAGGGGAGGGAAAAGAAATAGCAAAAATTAATGCTTTATTTAATCCATAGTACCTAATACTAAATTTCAGGTCTCTATTTGAATTAGTTTTCTAGATGTCTTTTTTTTTTTTTTTTTTGAAAGATAAACGACTGTGGAACTCTTTACCTATAGATGTAGTAAAGCCTTTGTGAAGGTTAAATTTTCCATATGGGTTCCCGTTAAATTTCTTTATGTGTATTTAAAGAACAAAGAAGTGCTAATCTCTGGAGTTACATGTGAAACAAACTGTTCTATATGGGGAAATGTTTGTTTGGTTTTTTTTTATATAGACAATACCACAAATGAGATGGTAGAGTAATTCTTCCCAGCTAAATACAAGGGAGTGTGTTTCCATTAATTACTTCCTGCAGTATCATGTTGAAGTGGAAGGGTAGAGAAGCATGATTCAAGTAATGTGAATTACTGCGTAGTGCTAATTTATGAAGATTTCTGGGTTTTGCTTAAATCTTGCCAACATTTTGCATAAATTCTACTTTTCTGTCATTTCCTCTTCCATCTTACAATTTTAGCCTGAGTAGGTTGGCAGCCATTTACTTAAATTTTGTGGCTGGCTTGATGAGAAAGCGATAAGCAAAAATAATTATTAATGCTCAGTGTTACAGCTAAGAATCTGGTGTGCTGCTGCAATTACTTGTAAAAGGCAATAACACATCAGAGATAAAACTCGATAAATGGTGTGTAGTGCAATCTTCCTTTTATAAAAAGTTTGTTTCTTGAAGATTAAATAATAATAATATAATAATGCAGAACAGGTGATGGAGGGCAAAGAAGTAGTAAAGTGAAAAAAAGTTTCTGCCTGTTGTCTCATTGAATGACTTTGGCCAAAGGAGTCTTCCAGGGGATCTAACTTACAATCAAAGAAGGAGAGAAGAAAGTATTTGTCTGCTCTCTCAGGGCTGTCTAGACTGGAACATTGAGATGTGGCAAACTACATAAATGATAAGATAACAAACAGTAAGCTTGAAAGCTGAGCAAAGGAAAGGATGGGTGCTTAATCAGAATGATTTAACTATTTTAACTAGCATTTACTAAAGGGTTCTTTTCTCAAATATTTAAGGTTTAAGCACTCAGTTTAATGTGATCTCAGTATTAGACAAGAGCAAAGTAGCTCAGCTACCATCTGCAGTTTTATGGTTATGGCTATGTTGACTATCATTGTTTTTTCCTAACCCTATGAGGTAAAGACTTTAAAAATAATTATAGTAATAGATAGTACCTTATATGCTGCCTGCGCTTGTTTGCAGTCGTAAACTGATGTGGATAACGACAGTGGGAAATTAAAGCTCAGTAACTGTCTCATAAAAACTGTCTTGCTCTTTTTATTTCTCTTAGCCTCCTTAAATAGGAATATGGCAAGGCTTGTTCCTTATGATCTGTAGGTGTGGGTAAGAGCATCTTGCATGATATAATTGGTTTTTAGAGTTGCTGATATAGTGTTGCAGTATGTGAAAAACACCTTTATTTTTATTCATAATGTAGGGAGATATTGGGGAGCCTAAATGTGAAAGGAGGGAATTTGCTGTATAAATGGCTAATGTTTGTGACCACATACAGAGTCACGTAATGCTCTGTGTGCCGCAGGACCTTGAAAGCAGTAGCACAAACTGTTGGCAGAAGTCTCTGGTTACTGATTAACTTACAAAGACAAAAAAAAAAAAAAGGAAAGGTCAGAAGATAATGGTGAAAGTCCTTACTAGCGTTGTCTGAGACTATGGAAACATGAATGCTGAGGTAAGGCCTGGAGAAGAGGGCACTGTGCCAGCTGTGTTTAAATCAGCCTGCTGCACATTTAAAATACAGGTACTTGAAAGCGTGATTAATTCTTCCCTGATTCATTGGGGTGAACTTGCTGTCGACTTCAGACCCGCCGCAACAAAAAAGTCGTCTGCGAGGTTAGGTTGGGAAGGGAACTTCTGAAATGTTGTGTACTGTGGTAATAGCTCGTGGGCGTATTCTCCTTTAGTGAAAATGAGATGACTTTGTCCTCAGTGAAGGCGAATGGGTAAACTACTGTAAATTTACCAAACGTGAGGATATCAGGAGAGCAGCTGTAAATCATACTGACAGGATAGGAGATAGTGTCTATACACTTGTGTTCATACCAGTTAATGTGATTCTTAACCCCTTCACAAACTGATGACCTGAACTCACCTGAGTGTAGGCTGTGCTGTGATGATGAGCATCTTTTCAGGCATTGATAGGGGGAAATTTATTCCATTTTAATTGGAGATGATGGTTGACAGTTGGAAGATAATGTCTGCCTTCTACCGAATATGAACTAATGAGCTAATATTTTTATTTTGGTGATCTTTGGATTTTTTTTTTCCTTAGTTTCTGACCCTAATAGCAGAAAGTGTTTGTGCTGTGTTTAAAGAAGAGAAAGCTAACAAGTTTGTTTTTTTCTAAATTTATCTGGATCTGCTAATTCAAAACCTGTTCTTCTGATCCTGAACTACTCAAGCAAATTTAGTGATGAAAATTTATCTATCATACTTTGAGTGAAGGCGATGCAGGATTAATGGCTTGAGATTTTTTTAAATTTAAGAATAAATCAACCAAAAGCTTTGAGTTTTTATGGATGTTATAGCCTAGTTGTAAGGAGAAGCCTCTGAGGCTCTGCAGTTTTTAAAAAGAAACTGCTGGGATG